TCTTTTCAGCGCTACTGTAAACATTAAAGCATGTGACTGATGCAGAGTGTCACATATGATGCATCTTGGAGCGTAAAGAAAATTTCCACACTTGACTTCTCTCTTTCAGGGCGACTCCAGAGGCGTTCGCAGACTATGCCAGACTTTGCTACAGAGAACTGGGTGCTCACGTGAAAATGTGGATCACCCTGAACGAGCCCAACGACGAGATGGTGAGCTACCAGGAGGGTCATCAGATGCTGCGGGCGCACGCGCTGGCCTGGCTCGCTTACGACCGCGAGTTCAGACACGCGCAGGGAGGACAGGTCGGTTAGAGCTGCAGCGTCGAGGGCTTTCCTCTTCAGCTTTATTAAAAAGTTTTCATTATTTTATTTTTATTGTGAGATGTTTGGTGTTGTGTCTCAGGTGTCTCTGGCTCTGCACATGGACTGGGTGGAACCGGCCTTCTCATTCAGCCGTGAAGACGTGGAACCAGCTAAAAGGGTTTTAGACTTCCGCGTCGGCTGGTTCGCAGAGCCGATCTTCGGCAGCGGGGACTATCCTCTGGGAATGAGGAGCTGGCTCCGTCAGCTCAACTCACTTGAGTACAAAACATTTATACTTCATGCAGCACAGTTACTTTGTGAGCTATTGAACAAATATAGCTGTTTACAGTCGCAATGAAGACACATTAACAGATGATGTAGCTCCTGTAATTTGATGTGTTGGTGTATTTCTGGTTATAATTATATTATTAACAGGATACTGGGATTATTCAAAGGTGTAAGTGGGATATCAGTAAGGGATACAATGCAATTTTATGTGATGGACAGGATGGGACAATCTATGTTTGTATTGGTTAGCATTTTCAGCGATGTTGCAGCATGGCTCTATGGATGGTCTATCAGTCGATCCAGACGCAAACATCTCAATAACTTTCAGAGGGATTGACATTCATGATCTCCAGAGGATGAATATCTCTGAAGATCCTGACTTTTTCATCTAATGTCACTGTGAGGTTTACATTTGTAGTTTTCAGTGAAATAGATTTTTTTTTAAAAACTCTGGATGTACTGTCATGAAATTTGACATTCATGATCCTCTCAGGAAAAGACATCACATTTGTGATTTTTGTGCAGCTGACTCAAATTTCAAAGCTTTCAGTGAGGAGCACTTCCTGCTCTCACCTGCCATGACTTCCTCCAAATGTTCACTGCAGTAGATTATTTATGATCTAAGTCTTCTTTTTCAACCGTGCCCTGAATTAAAACTTAATAGGTTCCGGGATGGTTGGAAATCAGTTTGGAAGCCTATGAAAGCTTTGTCATTAATATTAATCTAAACTAATAACTTGTACTTTTTAAATACTACTGTTATATCATCACAAATATAAAAGGACATCTGTTCCGTGTATGTTTCCACAGCTTGCCAGTCTTCAACGAGGAGGACAAACAGCTGGTCAAAGGGACGTACGACTTCTTTGCCATCAGTCACTTCAGTACCAAGTTGGTGACACATGCCAAGGAAGACTCGTAAGAAATTATCAGGGTTTTTTTTTGCCTTCATTTTGATGGTGACACAGAACATACACCCGATGTAGTGATACAAGGCATGAGATTACAACCCATAATAAGCTTGTGTATCATCTCCACGTCTGCAGGTACACCTACACAGCAATGCTAGAGGTCCAACACATGATCGACACCACGTGGATCATGTCCCCGAGGCCTGTTGTGCCCTGGGGCCTGAGGAAAGCCCTCAACTGGGTGAGAGTGGAGGGGTCTGAGTCACTGTTTATTTGGAGGCAGATTCTGATACGGACCTGACTCATGGGTGCTGACCTAATTATCCACAGTAAAAGCAGTAAACAGACCTAGGCAAACACACATAATTCTACCGTGCAAGTGCAACCTTAATGACCACACAGATATATTTTAAAGTTTCCATCTACTCAAAAATGTGTTTTGCTTATTGATTCTTCACGTGGATGTTTGCCCTTCACTGTGCAGAATGCTGTATGTGCACAATATGTAAATTCCCAGTACAAATACAATGAGAATGGGCTTTTCAGTGAGAAATGTTTGCAGTGAACAATATTTGTATATTCATAGAATCTGGATTTTTCAATGAGAGAGAAGCTCTAGCTTTAAAAATATATTTTAAACCAGGTTATTGTTTTAATGGAAACAGACAAGCTATTATTCAAAATAGAGTATTTTCAAATGTCTTCAAAGATTCCTGGAGGTGATCTGATAACAGTGACATTACTCCTTTGCTGTGTAAGGTGAAGGAACACTACTGTGACGTACCTGTCTATGTGATGGCTAATGGAGTCCAGGAAGACCCAGCCCGCTTCAAAGACAGCCTAAGAGTCTACTACTTGTACAACTACATAAATGAGGCGCTGAAAGGTGAGAACATAAACACACACAATACAATGCACCTTGGCAGCTGTGTATTGATATTACTGCGTTTGTATACTGAGTGATTAATCCTTCAGGGGTGACTGAAGCTTTCCTCCTTTCTGGTCAACAACTTTTAAATACAAAGCCTCTGCCGAGCTTAAATATTAGACAAGTCACTGACCTCTGAGTAGTCAGCTGACTCAGAACACACACATATGCGCACAAAAATATCAACAGAGATACACGCTCTACACTGAATTGTTGAGTCAAGGTTGCTCGCTATCGAGTTACCTGTCCTTGTAAAGTTTATTGGGTTTCACTCAGTGAAGACCTCGGCTCACACTCTGAAACCTTGCAGTGTCACACTACGTTGTGCAAGTTGTCCTTTTATTTTATGTTGTAATGTGCTTTGTCACCACTGAGTGGCAACCATCCACAGAGTTGTAATCCCAATCACAGCAAAAAAAATGTGTATACATTTTTGTGTATTTATGGTGAGAGGAAGGCAGGAAAACAAATACGATGAAAAAGGACGTAAATCTGTTATAATACACAGGACATCTAATTATTGTGTAATCCCAGGTTAAACATGATTGAGTGTGACACAATTTTCAGTCGTATTAAAAAATGATGTTATGATTATGAGAAATATTTTTATTTATGGGCTTATAAAAAAAATGGTAAAAGTTTTACCTTTTCTTCCACTGCCGCACGTCTCCCACCACCTCACCCTCACATGCACAAGTAAATGAAAATGAATATTGATTGGACATCTCACATGATCAGTCCTTCCTCCTCCCTCCTCAGCGTACACTCTGGACGGAGTAAACCTGAAGGGTTACTTTGCCTACGCCCTGAGCGACCAAAGGGACCCGGGGTTTGGCTTGTACGGCCAAGTCCACGAAGAAGTCATCGTCAAGGCCTCGCTCTCCAACTATCACAACATCATCCAGCACAACGGCTTTCCCATTCTGGGAGCCGCGCCCCAGCAGTGTCCCAGCTTCCCTCAACCCTGCCTGGGCTGCCACGTGCTGGTGAAGAGGCCTGTGGTGGGCTTCCTGACTCTTGTGGGTTCAGGCGTGCTGATCACCCTGGGCCTCATCATCTACTACACAGCTAAGAGACACAAGGAGTGTTACTGATGATTGTGACTGTAGGATTTGTGATTTTTGAATGACTCTCAAGAAAAGAAACTGAGCTTGTTCAGCGGTGTAGAGTTCATGTCAACTTTTAATTATACTACTTGTTTGACTTGATGTTAAATGACATCTGAAGTTAAGTGCATTTTTGGTGTTACAGCTTTTATTAAATGTTATGTAAAGTTGGTGTAAATTTGTTACAAAGCTGCTAGGCACCTCTAACAGCTGATGGTGATATTTTTCGATTATCTTTTTAAGATTCAACAGCATCTCCAGTTGTTTTTAGAATATTGTGTAATGACAACCATGGAAAAGCAACTTTATACATGGCTTAATGTCCAGACTTAACTCCTCTTCCACCCCAGCTCTAAGACAAACTTAGGTAAACACTGCAAGAAAAAGGGACTATGAAGTACGATGAATCACTAAGGAAGCTCCACAGAAGACTCACAGGATCAAGAGGTCTGACAGTCAACGACACACCAGATTCTCTAATTCTTCCTCTAAATAGTCAAAGTTCAGGTACAATGCATCAGTCACATCAACATTTAATATAATGGGGGAAAAAAACAAGTAACTTATCAATTAAGTTTGGACACACTTGTTGTGAAGCCTACATCACAGAAGAGACTCCTCAAAACTGCTTCTGAGAGTTTGTGCTGTTCAGAAAGTCAAGCATCACCCATTAGGGGTTTTCCGTTTTTTGAGACCCTTTGCACTCCACCATGCTGCCAACGTCATTTCCCCACAGAATCTACAGAAGTTATCCAGAGGAAGAAACCTGTGGAAGGTACATTTTACAGCTGAAATCATGTTTTCTAATAACGTGTTATTCAGAATAGTTTGTGCAGTTTTGTGACTGGAATGAACATTTGTTTATCTGTTGTTACTGCTCAGCTGACAATAAATCTGCTTAAACAAATTGAAGACATAACACAATATTAGAACATTTTCATGATCTATAATACCTAACAGCATTTATCATCAAGTTCATCATGAAGGTTGCAGGAGGGATGGTCAATGAGGCTGGTGTGTGATTTGAACAGTAAGTGTTACAGAAGTCTGTTTTCGGTAATAACATCCACGTTTGGTCAAATCCATAGAGCAACACCAGACTTTTTACATGTTTTAAACAAAGTATTTTATTGTAATCTTCTGATTTAGATTTTTAGGAAAACATCTCTCGTCCTGCTGAAGTCACTATCAAAGCTGCTCTGTTTGGATTAAGTATTTTACGCCACTAGAGTGACAGTTCAAGGTTTACAATCTGTACAGTGCTGAGGTTTTGGGTCACAATCCATGGCACAAAGCCACGAACTGTCAGACTATCAAGATTCATTCTGGGTCACCACAATGCGTTACAGAATACACATGTCAATCTGTATAATGTCCACCACAGACAGTCTTGTTGGGGCAAAGATATCAGGAAATCAATGATGGTTGTTGAACTCCTGCCAAGAAAAGTTTGTGTATTTAAGTCCATTCAAAGTCAAAACATCATGGCATCCAGACCATCCTCCATGAACTTCTTGTAGATGGCCATGAACTTGGCGGTGAATGCCTCCAGGTGGTAGATAGCTTTGTTGCCCATCTGCAGCCTGTGTTCGTAGTAAGCTGCCATGTGGGCCACCTCTGTCTTCAGATGGCCATCGCAGTTACTCAGCAACTCTGTCACCAGTCCCTGTTAAGAGGATTGGACATGGGAAATTAATACTTATTACTTTAAAACTGTTTCAACACTTTGATGGGAGGGGAGGTGAACGTTACCTTCATAATGATCTCAGGGGGAATGCAGTGGGTCAGCAGCTCGTACAGCCTGGCCCGAACCTCCATCAACCTGGAACAAAGACAGACAGCGATTCAAGTCTCATTAACTTCCTTCAGTCTACCAGAACCAACTAACCCTCTCCTCTCTCACTCTTTGCCTCCTACCTCTGAGGGCTCTGCTGGCTGACAATGGCATTAGCTGTTTCTCTTAGGTACACCTCCCAGTCTGTCTCTGGGACGTCTTGGTCCACTGAGAACGGATACCTGGAAAAGATGAACACAGGCTGTGTGAAAAACCTTTCATTTAGATTCCACAGATAATGCTGTGGACAAATGAAAAGTTTTGTGAAAACTTACTGCTGCACTCTGCAGGCCTCACACATCAGAAGAGCTTTGCGGAGGTTGCGACCAGACTTCTCACTGATTTGCTTGGCCAGCTCAGGTGGGAGGAGTAAACCTTCCTTTTTACAGACTGCTGTCAGAACATTACAGACCTGGAAAACAGGTAAAACACAAAAAGGTGTAAATGTCCTGATAACGTCTTGGCATTTTATGAACCCTAATATGCTACTTTCAGATAATAATTCACTACAATCTAAACCGCATCATCTCCATCTTACCTCTTCAGTGCTCGGCAGAGGAACTCTGATAGCCAGACAACGGCTCCGAATTGGCCCTATGACTCTGGAGGTGGAGTTAGAGCAGAGGATGAGGCGGCAGGTGCCCATGTATTTTTCCATCGTCCGACGCAAAGCATGCTGGGCATCCTTTGTGAGTCTGTCCACCTCTGTTAGCAACACCACTGAGAACAAAAGTGTGCAAATTTACTACAAGAGTGACAGTCTGATGTTATAGCTCCACAGAGCCAGAGGGTGGCATCAGGGAGAAGTAGCTCACAGAGGAAGGATGAGCATGGGCCAGCATTCACAAGTTAAAAGGCACAAAGTCTCTTCTACCTTTAAACTCTCTCTGGGTGCTGGATTGGATCTGCTGAGACTGAGCCACAGTTTTAATCAGCTCTTGAATCACCACACGGTCCTGGTTTCCTGCGTCACTGTGCGACATAGAACAGAAATACTTAAATCTCATAATGTGCAATAGTTACTGTCAAATGTAGTGGAGTATAAAGTAGGAGAAAATAGGGAAATACTCAAATGAGGCACAAGTAAACTTAATTTTTAAATTCTCAAAAAAGGTACCTCGCATTGACTTCCAGGTGGTAGTTGCTGGCGATTGTGTTGATCTCAATTTTCTTCTTTGAAGGAGCCTGCAGTCAAAAAAACCAACAAAATAAAACAAATGCACCTGAGCCTTCATCAGAAAATTTAATAATGATTCGTGAAGACAGAGTATGATCTGACCACTATAGATGTGTGCATGCGAGTCGTTTATTGTAAGGGCTCTGTTAGTGACTGCATTTCATTATTTCCCCTCTCACCACGATGGTCTGGTGCTCTATGCGGAGCTTCTCCACTCCGGCTCCATACAGCTCCCTCAGCAGACACATGATGCGGGTCTTCTTCCCTGCGCCTGATGGACCGTACACCAGCAGGTGTGGGAAGTCGCCACATTGAACCTGAAACACACATTTACAAAGAAGATGTTTGTTCTTTGAAATCGGTTTACCTAGAATAGACCGGACTATGATATGTCTTTTAAAAAAGAGTGGACAGAATAAACAGATTACTCCTTGTTCAAGACTCTGACTGATTCAGTTCAAAGACCTTCTGATGATGTTTATGAATCCAGAGGAAGTTAAGTTTGCACTGAGAGGCTCTGCTAAAGTTGTAATCCCTGTTATCAATACCTTCATAATATTAAGAGTATTCACAACCCTCCTTGCTATTCATGACCCTTCATGGATTAAAGTGTTGCTAACTTCCCTTACACATTCACCATATCTCCTCATAGTGTTGTAAACGCTCTCAGTTACGTGTCATTAGGCATTTGTTTTAATGGTTAACAACATTATGTTGATAAAACTGGGGAAAAGGCAACGTTAAAGCAGCAACGACAGGCAGTCACATGAAGTATTTAGCAAGTCACGTTGACGTCATACACTCAAGAAGGTAGCTTAACTCGGTGCAAATTATATAACATGCAAATGACCGACTTTAACCAAGTTCTTAACTACTGACCAGCACATACTACACTTGTTGGTTTCGGCCTGTGCAGCTACTGGGCTTCATGCTAATGCTCGCCTGAACACGGTGAGTTTACCGGAGGTTTGTTTCTCCTCTTACCAGGTTTTTCAACTGGGCCGCTTGGTCTTTATGGTAGTCGAGTTTCCCGAGGGAAGTCGGTCGATATTTGTCCACCCACAAACTCATTGTGTTATGAATTTAGTGTCTGTTGATGCCCGTGTAGAGAGCTTAAAGCCTGTCGCTAGCTGCTGCTCTCCCGCGAAATGTTGTTATTCAGGCATAAACCGCGCCGCCGTTTGTTTCCGAGCTACGGAGAATCGAAGGGCTCAAAAAGGCTGCAGGCGCGTGGTAAATACACAATACGGAAATGGTGCCCTACATTATATGGTAGTGAGATGATTTACTCTGACAGCCAAAACACAACCACTAAGGAAAATTAAAGGCAACAACTTTATTATTATTTTTTTTAAATGATCTTTTATAAGAAGAATGCCAAAAGTCACCGATGCCTGCTTCTCAAATGTGAATATTTGCAAGTGTAGCAGGGATGTCAGCGGGACTCCATGCAGAGCTAAGTGTCAGGCCTATTGACAATGGAAATAATTATTGGCTGTAGCCTTACAACCCATTAACTGTTGCACATTATATTTCTGTTGACTTAGAAATCGATTAATCAACTATGATCAGTGCAGCTTTACTCCAAATCATTTTTATTGCTCAGTGCTGTGCATGTATCTATGCAATACACAAACAGATGACATCAATGATTGGCTTCTGTTGTTGTTATGTGCCGGTGTAAGTATAGGCTTGTGTGTAAACATCTCAGGATGAACAGTATCCTGTTAGTAGAAAGCCCAGGGGAAGGTTTTCACAGAGGTCCAGCACAGGTCAACAGAGGCCCACTAGCAGGTTAATCTTCCTATATCCTATATGGAATTGGAAAGATAACATCTTTTCTTTATTGCTGTGGATTTGTAGGTGTTTACACGGCTACAGTGAAACAGTCTGTTGCCACCAAGGAATGTGAGACAGTTAATCCCATGCCACAGAAACAAAAGCTCACAATGTCACCAAGCTGTCTTGCCATGATATAATGAGAAAGTATGAGCTGGTAATGCTAAACGTGTTGCTTTTTGTACAGAGGTATTATTAAACGCCCTTATTTTATGGTCCCCATCTGGTTAACCCATTTGTTTATCCAACAGTCTGATCTAGGGCCGAGCAAAAGAAGGAAAAAAAGTAAAAACTTTACCCTGAATCCATTCAGGCTCTCATGCAAAAAACAAATAGGAAATTATTTGATCCGGTCATTCAATTTTTCCTCCCCTACCAGCCAAGAAGGTGGAGAATTTTAAATCCAAGTTTTCTGGTATGCAGTGATAGAGTTAGAAAGTGAATTTTTCTTTGCTTATCTCCCTCCATGCACATTAATGTTTGTTGTCAAAATGAGGTTTTATTGTCTTTCATATTTTACACAGTATCTACAGTACACACTGCCAAGATAACACAGCTTACATAATCAGTGTGGATGTATTAGTGTGTTTTTTAATCTGCAGCTAGTCTTCATAAAACTTTTAATGTGCTTTCTCCCAGAGGAATTGATTTGTAGTTTTAAAAAGGGCCCAAGCTGTTATAGACACAGTTGTTTTGCTGGTTTTTTACTGTATCTACCTGTCAAATCTCACCTCGTCTTCCTCTCTCGTCTTTATCTTTGCCCTGCTTTTCTCCAGCCTGACCCAGGTAACTATACGTCTCCATGACAGGAATGTTATATATGGAGGAGCATGTCTCAGCAGGTTGGCGTTGCTTGTATTGAAATGTTTGAGTAAAATTAAGATGCATCCATCATCACTGCAATGTAGGACAGTGTAACATCTGAGGGGCGGTGGGTGAAGTTTATCAAGTTCCTGCAGGAAAGATGATTTATGAAGCTCATACATAATGTATCAGTTTGGCTCATGAATTGTGTGTTTTTATGAATTGGCAGCCTCATAGTTCAACTATTGTTGATGCTGCATGGTTTAACAGTAATTTGTATTTCACATACAGGGGAGGAAAGGTATTTTACAGGGTCAGTTCACCCAAGAACATAGTGATACTTTCAATGGCATTTGGTTTGTGGTCTTTTTGTTCCCTAAACTCAATATGAAAAACATTTGGACAGTCATAAACCACAGATGTTGTTGTGAAACTGTCCATCTCCAAGGAGAGATCTTTAAATATCATCTTGTTATACTGAGACTGCTGCAAACTTACTGTACCATTGCTGAGCCCCTTTGTGTTTAGATGAATTATATCCAATATATTTATTCTCAGCAAATCCGTCTGAAGCTTTTTAGGTACTTTGATGTCACTTGGAAAAAGTTTTATTGTGTTTGTGTGTGAAGAGACATCACAGAAAGCAGAAATACTGCACTCTTAACTCTTATTCCACCTTGACCAGATCTCTTCTCCCCAAGACCTTGAAGGTCAAACACGCCTCAACAGGCAGAATCATCCTCAGTGTTAACGTACAAATAGCAGGTCTTTACTCCTGACCAAAGACATTCCCTCAGAAACATGAAATTCAATGTTTGCTGGCAAACTTGAGGAATTCCACAGTCCGTCGACAGCTTTGTAAGGACCATAAGTCATTTCGTGTTGATTAAGGCTCACACACGGCTTTGCTGTAGTTACAGAAAGCATGAAATGAGAGTTTTACAGAGGATAAGAGCAAGTTTAAAGCATTACCTCATGTGTTGTCAAGGAATGTGCTTCCAAGGTGAAAAACCCTTTGCCTCGAGCCATATTATACAGCAATGATTGAAAAGGAGGAATGGGGTGGGCGAAAGCTGCACGACAGACCTCAAGCCTTTTAATCAAAGTCCGTAAGACTAATGTACGTGCAGCTATTTAATCTGGTTCATCACTTCCACAACAGAATGTTGTATCTGCTTTGACTGCATCTATTTTTCTCTCTTACACATATGCTTGCATTTTCATGGAAATTAACACTCTTACTCCATGCACGTACACACACACACACACACACACACGCACACATATCCACACATACACACACACGCACACGCACATATAGCACAAACACCTGCCTGTGGAGCTCCCTGTTTTCTTGCTGAGGTAATGTAGGAGGGAAAAGCATTCCTCAGCCCTTTCTTCTTCTCTCCTCCCCTCACAGCATTTCATGTCTTTTCAGACATAAACTCACTCTTTCTGTCTTATCTGTGTCATGCAGCTTACAAGCACTGAATCGCCTCAGCTGGATATTTGTGTTCCCTCTCGCTTTCTTCAGGCTGCTGAGCTGGATGTGTTCTCGGATGATACAGCTTCTGTACAAAAACATCTGGTATGTTGAAATATGAATTCTGTGTTTCTTTAAAACTTCCTATAGAATATTTTTTATCAAGAAAATGTTCAACATGACAAATGCCCCTTTATGTTAATTAAATAATTATTGGCATTAATTGAATAACAGTTACCATGTGACTGTACAGTAATATTTCTCCACAGACCGGCTGACACATGGCCTGGGAACAAACATCTCTTTGTTTGCGAGTGTGTACTATGAAGCTCTTGTAGGAAAGGACTCGTATGTTTTTTACACACACATGCTGTCTGAGCTGCAGAGTTATAGAATTTTCCAGGATTTTAAAACCCACCACTGTGTGTTTGAACGACAAAGAAAACATGTCAGGCAAGGAAAGGGTGTGTTGGCTGTGGCCAAAAATATCCACCAGGAAAAAACAATGTGTTTGAGCAAAATGCATTTTGTCAAAAAAAAAAAAACTGTGACAGCTACAGAGTGGTGCGCTGTGCGGTTGTTATGAAGACGAACTTTGTTGACTTTGGCATGAGCCAATCACATTGACATTTGTGGTTTTTCTGGCCCAAAAAATTATATACAGTACAAACTAAACCATCACTATTTCAAAATAATGGAAAAATTACAATTAAGATTACATTACATTAAAATCATTAAAAACATTTTTCATTTATGTTTTGCATCATAAATATATTTTTCTTTACAATTTATACTTTATACTTTAGCAAATTCAGTATAATGAGCTATTTTTTTTTTTTACAAATTTATTTTAAACTTTACTGCATCTAACGGCAGTAGAGTTGAAACCCTGCAGTAGATTGTTAAACTGGAGTACAGAGCCACATCTCACTGCCCAGAGGTCTATATGTTTAGAGACAAGAATGATTGATTTAATGGATAGATAAATCTGCCTAAGCAGTAATTTAATCCTTCTTAAGCAACACACTTGAATCCAGGCTATTTACCCACTTACCACGAACATATGACACTGGATTATACATGCATATATTCTTTAGTGTGCATGTGTGAACATGAATCAATTTGTCCAAATTTACATTCGGTCTCTTTCTGTCTCTCCTTCTCACTCCAGCTCAGACATCAAAGGAATTTTCCGGGGGATTCAAATATGGGCCAAAGTGTAAAATATTAACCACTCATAGCTTCATTTTAGCAACTGCCTGATTGGTCAATTCATCAGGTTCAACATTAGCAATACAGAAAAGAACTTACGGATGAGGACTGGTTCCCTCGTAATGCATGAAGGCCCAGTAGCTGCACTGCCTGTTCAGCAGCAGCCTGACAGGCATATTTACCCCCAGGCTGTGGGTGTCCCTCTGGATGACCTGCAAGGTCAAGTTCCCCTCCTGATCCAAAGCTCCAACAACCACAGAGGAACCATGTCTGAACCTGTTCCTCTGCTAAGATGCGCTTTAGATCCTGTGGCCCGTCATGCTCAAAGATGGACGGAGCTGGAGACGGACAGCTGCTCCTCTTGTGATACAACTAAGCCTGATTTCAAGCAGAATGGACACTGTGGAAGCAGCCAGAGCTCAGACAAGGCTCCTGGAAGAGGTCAGGACATGGAGGTGTCACAGGGTGACGGAGCTGCTGTTGGCAGTAAATCTCAGATGGAGGCACATTGTGGAGCCACACTACCTCAGCAACAAGAAGGGAGCCCCAATGAGACCTCCTGTCCTGATGAGTTGCTTCCTGCCTCTTTACCAGCTCTGGATAAAAGTAGCCAAAGCCATCTGCCAGCATCTGTGGATGCATCAGAGGACTGCTCATTGGATCTGCTCAGAATAGTAAAGCACCACCCGAGCGCCATTGTGTTCTGCGATTATAAAAACCAGGCGAGCTTTGCCAGTGGCAGCTCTGATGGTGGGGAGTCCTCCTCATCCAACACTGAAGAGGGAGAGGGAGAGGATGACGATGATGATGAGGATGAGGATGATGTTTTTCAGGAGACATTACAATATAAGGAATTCCTGGTCAGCCGTCGCCGTAGGAACTTGAACAGGAACAGGAAGTGCTTGAGGAAGAGACAGGATGCCCAGCCTAACAGCTCTGCTGCATCTGGCTGGCAAAAGCCCACCGACAAGGGCAAACAGGAGTTCACAGGTAGCCAGGAGGAAGAGGAGAACAATGGCAAACAGGTAAGAAAAACAAGACAGGAGTAGTGTGATAACACAGACAAAGAAGTCTTATTCATTGTGTAGAACTGCCAGGCAAAGCACTTAAGTGGCTGCATGTCTGTGTTACAGATTGGCCGGTTTCACAGCTGGACATCTGTCTTGTCATTGTAGGAAAAGCACAGGTCTTTACATTAATGATTCAGGTTTCCCAGTAAGCCATGACGGTGTGAGCCAGCAGCACGCTCAATATCAGTGATTTTATTATTGACACCTGTGCTTTTCTCACTGCCACATGCCAAGTGTGTAAAATAAAATCCAATTCTGCAAAACCCTTCCTGCACCACCAGAGGGCAGCAATGTCAAATTGTTTCATTTGTTTTGATCAGCATGAGCTTGTTGTGAAGGTTTTTTTCTACTATCTACTGAATAGCAGATGGTCTCCAAATACCAGATCACAGCTATGACATCTTTGTTGAAATGAATTTACCCGACTTAGCAGGATATTTTTCCTTTTTGCAGACATGGTCACAATGTCCCTGGTTCTGACTGGGCATCTCATAATTATCCCATTCTCATCTTCTCCTCATGTTTCCTGTATGTCTCTACTGTTGGTCTGTTGCAGCAGCTGCAAATCTGGTGCAGAGACACCCTCTTGTTTTCTTACATAATACATATTATGCTGCTAAATGTGGAGATAATAGCTTCAGTATCATTTGAATTATTTGCTATATGAGTAAACTGAGTGTTTATATGTTGAAAGAAAAGCAGTACCTGAACAAGAAGGAATATTTTGGCAGAGATACCCTCAATCATAAATTCCTCTCATTTTTTTTTTCTCCTGGCCCACGCTGGTATCTCCACCTCCCAGCATGCACTTCACCATCGGGCATCGTTTAGTCTGAGCGTGCCCCCTGACTGTGTTCTCACACCTGTCAGTGCAGCCCTCAGCCTCTGGCACGTTCCCATAACGGTCCTCTGGCACTCTGCACACTGTTCTCCCTCTCCTTGGACTGAAATGAAAGGATTTGTTCTCCCCGTGCTCCTTTTGTGATGTCGTTCTCAGAGTTTGACCAAGTAGCTTTTAAAGTCACTTATGGACAGGCTTAGGCCAATGCTCATTTGAATACCTGTTAAGTCAAAGAGGCCCCTTTGTGCCTCCGCATTCTTGGAATATCTTGGCTCGGGCACTTTCGTCACACTCCTCGATGTGGGTTAACAACTTTGCCAAATGAAATAATTTGAGGAATTTGGAGTAAGGAACAAGTTATTAAACAGCATTTAAAGTGAAATGAGGCTTAGGATCTTGGCTGTACTGCTAGAGTCTCATCTCATGACAGTTTCTCGGTCATGTCCCAGATCTGTAGCTTTCAGCCCTGCTCACTGGGCGTTTGGCCACATTACTGTAAAACCAAGTCAGCTTGTCATCAAGTTAAAAAAAAATGTTACAGAAAATAGATTTTTTTTTTTCTTACTTGAGTATGATATGTTATTATAGATGAATAAAGGCATGACTAGTGCATCTTAAAGGGTTATCCTCTTATTTCCATGTGATGTGGTATAGTTAGCCTCATAACAGGAATGTGCCACATGATTCTCTGGATTTGGAAATCATCAGAATTAGTTATACATATTTTGGCAAATGTCTATTATATATTCGCAGCTTTAAAACGGTAGTACGACTGGAGAATTCCTGTTTTGATTACATGTTTAAATCCATTTGATGATTGTGTTTGAGGTTCTGGAGGCAGATAACAGCTAACTCTCAAATGACAGAATAGAGTATTGAGTGGGAGCTGGTTTAATCCTGCTTCAGACTTGGACCAGGTTGATGATTTGATTTGTCAGTTTCAGTTCTTACCTATAGTCTTGACCGCCTTTGAACTTGGTCTTTAATATGTCTTGGACTGGACTTAACGGTCCCATATAGTATAAAGTGAGATGTCCATGTCTTTTTGGTTATAAAGCAGGTCTATGTTCTATATTAATACTGTGAAAGTATAGTGCTCAGTCTACAGAGAAATGCACGCAGCTTGTATTCAGAAACAGAGCCTTAAAATTAGCCGTCTGGACTTTTGTAAATTTGTGATGTCACAACAAAGCAGTCAATGCCCTCAGTCATGTCCCAAGCTCAGCCCATCCAGCCCCACCATCCAACTTCGCAGGATTTGGTTTGTCTTGAGCGTTTACCTGAAATCTGCTATATTTTTATTTATTCACTCAGAAAACAGTCGGCCAATCAGAGAGCCTCTCCTCCGATTGGCTCGCCGACCTGTTACTATAGAGCTCCAGAGAAAAGCCTGAGAGAGGAGATGTAAAACTACATTGAGATGGTCTTTGGTTCTTAAAACGACAAATATATCTTCTTTCTTATGGATCAACACTTCAAATAAAACACAGGGAAAGTGTAAAATATGGGACCTTTAAATGGTGCTGACAGTGGCTGCTGCTGCTTTCAAGATCACAGAAAGATACAAAGAGTGAGAATACTGAGTAAATTATTTCACCTGGATTCAGCTGAAGGAAAAACTTCTACACATATTCTTTTACATGTTTCTTCTCCTCTGTAGAACAAGATGTCAATGTAATTATTAGTTTCACTTCAGAGCACTAATAGACTGAGGGTACACTTCTTTAGCTATTCATACTGAGATGCATCACGATAATAGGCGCCCCAGCCTGTCCAAGACACTTCAGACAAATAATGAAATGCTCTTGAAGCGTAGATACAGTGATGCATTAAGAGCTCTATCCTCTGTAAACACTTTAGACTGAAGCCTATTAACATTTCATGAACTTTGAGAGCACTGTGCTGTCAAAAGTGAATGTGTGCAAGTGTGTATCTGTGTGTGTACGCAGTGGTGTGCATTTGTGTTCACATTTGCACATTTACTTGCAGCTCTCTCTCTCTCTCTCTCTCTCTCTCTGTGTGTATTTGCGAGTGTTCATGTTTGCAGTCACTCGTGCCACTGAAAAGCCTCCACTCCCCATGTTCTCCCCTGGCCCCGGCTCTGTCCCCCATAGTGAGGGTAAAAATAGCACCCTGCTGCACATAGGCAGCCTTCTGTGTTCCTGTGTGTAGGAATCTGGAGATGTGGGGGCTGTAACGCACAGGAAATGTCTTTACTGCCAAAGCCGTTACTGCAGATATTTTTTAAACTGGTCAACATGATGAGGTTTTGGGAATAGGAGTGGACAGAAGGGTGTGTTTGTGTGCGTGAGTGGGTGGGTGGGTGGGTGTGGGTGAGGGCATGCTTGTGTGTATGCATGTATGTGTGTGAGTGAGGGGGCTGTTTTTGGACTTCAAGCTCCTCAAAGGGGCCCTATGTGCTGCTATCAGCCACTGGGACTCTGGGATTGGCAGCACATAGGGCCCAGAGACAAAGCAGTTTGTTCATTTCCTGGAAGGCCAGTGAACAAGTGTTTCAGTCAGAGTCCACGACCAATGGGTGGAGAGGGAAAGAGAGGGAAAGCGAGGGTTGAGGTATGTGCATAGCTATGACATGGACAGTTACAACACATTTACATGACGTACATTGGGTACGTTGCTGTTTTTAAATGTAGCAAATGGCAGCTTATTCTTCACTAGCTGCTATCGTTATCCATATGCTGTATATTTTTCTCTTCTCTTCTCTTCTTGCTCTACAATAATCTCATTGAGAAGGTGTCACCCCCTCCTCCACAGTGTAGGGTACACTGTGTACCCCTAGGCAGGCTGAAAAAGCCCAATGTTCATCTGCAAGGAGCCTGCAGGCAATGAAGGGTGGAGTAGGTGGATGGGGAAGAGGAGTGGGTGTGTGTGTGTGTGTGTGTGTGTGTGTGTGTGTGTGTGTGTGTGTGTGTGGAGTGAGGTTCAGCAGATCCCTCTCTCTCAGCACACATGAAAGGCCTCAGTGCAAGGTGTTAACAGGGTTTCCCCTTGAGCCATATTTACCTGCGTCTGTGTCTCTTGACCCGTACGTTCAGGCTGCTGCGTGTGACTCCATGACCCTGCTGATGAACAAGTTGGATCAGCTCAGTGAGGGGGTCCGAGAAGTCCGAAGCGCTGATTCCTCCCACCCAGACGAGGCCTGCGCCGAGCAGGAGCAACAGAGCACCGTGGTAAGTAAAGCACAGTTGACCTGAAGGATAAAAAATAGTGATAAAAAATTAAGATTTAAAAAAAGTTGAAGTAACAATTAACAGACAATCACAAAGATGATGTATACAGATATCCTATGTAGGGTTCTTCAAGTTATGTATAATTTGAAAAGAAGACAACATGAATTAGAAAGTTTTTGAACTTTTTGACAAGCAAATGCATCGACCCACCTACCACCTTCTGAGTAACCAATACAAATGTTTTATGATGATTACTCAAAGGTGATTAATCATACCTAAATGGGGAATCATAGCTTAATGAAATTAAGTTTTTAATGTGAAAACTGTATGTATTTTAATTTAGAAAAAAGGTTTTTTTATATATTTTTATATTTTATACAAATATAATTATAGACGAGTGTGATTTAGAACTTCTTTATGAGTTGCTATAACATAATTAATCACCACTTGAAAACCAAATGAAAACCTCGTAGGACCTCCACATGAGTCGATCAGACAGTTAGAGTGGCTGTCTGACGTGCTGCTGTGAGTTTTAACTGAGGGCACCTTACGTTTAGAAATCACATAAAAGGATTGCATGAAATTTGAATTAGAATCAAAAATGGATGATGTCTATTATATAGTTTTCATTAGACTGCAGAACAGTCTAATGAAAGTACCAGAGTGCCTTTATTTTCAGTCATACTGTATGTTGGCTACTCACACACCAGCACAATTTACCATTAAGTCAAACAGCGTGCCACACACATGTTGGACAGAGAGCCTACTCAGGAGAATGGGTTGCTAGGCTTGCAGTCTCTCCCACTATTTAATATGGGGTGGATTCATTAAGAAGAACAGTTTGGATGGTTTCCAGGCCTGTTGTTTTTCTGCCATTAAAGCCTTTCATAAATCAGGTAGTTTCTGATTCGTCTGGCATCCATCTGGAAATAAGCGCTGAGCTTATTCCAGCATATTATTATTTAAAGGTGTATTTAACATAACTTCTGGAGGAGAAACAGTCTGGAGATGGCTGCTGTGCTGTGCTCCTCTGTTCTCCTCTCACAGGGCATTCCAGCTGCCTCATTATGCTTACCAAGTGTAAATCTGGTAACCTCAAATAGCTCTTAAACCAACAGCACAGAAGTTTAGGAATTCGTATAAAAAGACTGTATTTAATCAAGCTAATCTTAATCAAACTGTCTGGCAAGCCAGAAAAACAGCCATAAAATAGACATGCTTAGCTGTGTGTATCACATTCTCTGTATTTTTATGTCACAGTAAAGTACTTTTTTTTTTTTCTTTTTTTTTGTTGCAGTAAGCCATCATGGTAAAATACACAATACAACACAATATGATGATGAATGAAAAGGAAAATCAATAAAAATGTCCAGAGGAGAAGAGCAGCAGAGAGACCATTTATTCCAAAAATGTCAAATATTTATGGGGTAATTAAGATTAAATGATCTCAGCCCAGAAGAGTAAGACAGCAGCAGCAGCAGCAGCAGGAGAAAGCTTTCTCTTCTTTGGCAGTAGAAGACATTCAGGGTTGGGTGCAGGGCAGAGTGATAAGGAATTAAGATTTGTTTGAATTCACCAGTAGTGAAATATCAGAAGTTCCTCTTAAACACCCTCAAGATAGTCTGTTTAAATACAGTAACAAAGAAGTTTCAGTCAGAGGAAGACATTGGCTTAACATATAACAACTCTTTAAATAACACAATCGTTCCAAACAATGTTTCTGATTGTCTTTTAATTCTTTCCTCACTCACTGCACTCAGATCAGACGACATCCTTTAACCACGCCCTTCATTATGCTAATTACATTTTTTTAAAAAGTGAGTTCTTTTGTCAGTCAGATGTAATGTCTGTCTGTCAGCTTTCCACTTTTGTCTAGACTGAAATATCTCCACAGCTCTTGGGTGGATCCCTGTGACATTTTGCACAGGCGGACATGGTTCCCAGACCATTAATCATCATGATGTGATCATCTGATTGTTCTTCTAGCGCCACCACGATGTTCGCGTGTGAGGGTTTTAGGGAAATGTCTCAATATCTCAACAAATAGTGGATGGATTATCATGAAATTTGGTTCATACATTCATGCCTCCTTCTGGATAAATAACTTTAGCGACCCCTAAACTTTTCATCTAAAATTTCAATTTATATGACCTAAAAAAATCTTTTCCATCAGCCTCTGCTGTACTCTGTGATAATTAGTGCTAGAGAGAGAGAGAGAGAGATAGATAGATAGATAGATAGACAGATACATAGATTGGACATGGTAAACATTAGCCTATACCTGCTAAACATCAGCACCATTCTGAGCATGTTAGCATGCTAATGTTTAGCATTGATTTGGCTCAAAGCAACACTGTGCTTCAGTACAGCCTCTCAATGCCACTAACATGGCTGCAGACTTCAAGTCTCCTCTGTTACATGGACTTTCCACTGTGGGAATTTTCTCCATTAAATTCCTATTAGTTGAATGAGATCGAATGGAACAGAACACTTATTAATTAAAAGTAGCAAATAGGGAAATACAGTTCAGATGAGACATTCACTAAGTTTCAGTTTGAACTGCACTTTGTTTTGGAGACACAGTGTCCTTCATGTTGTTATCTAACTGTGACCGCACAGTTAGGAAATTAGCCACAGCACCATGCCATCTCTATGATGGAAATGCTCTACAGGGTCAGAGAGGGAGCTTTCTACACAGGGAAGCATTGTATGTATGTGATGAAGGGAAAATGTGTCTCTCCACGCCTGCATTTGTGGATTGGATTCTTGGTTGAGAAAAAAAAGCGTGCTGTTTACAGAAATTAATGCCATTCCTCCTTCACTTTCAGTTACACACACACACACTCACATTTGCACACATATCCATGTTATCAGCTCAGTGTGGGACGGGAGGGGAAAGCGGGAAGCGCAGCGAGCGCTGAAGTGGGTACAGTAGTTGAGTCATGAGGTCAAGCCGGGACGGACTTTCCAATGTTGCTACTGAGCTGAGATACAGAGGGGACGAGGATGGTCAGAGATGATAAGGATTTTTCTGAATAAGAGGAGGGCAGGCACGTCCATCGTCAGCAGTGTCTTATATCGTCAAACAATCCCCACATACACCAGCTCCACTAAATACTCCACAGAAACCACACAGAGATACAGGGAGCTGCTGAAGAGGCAGGTGACATGAAGACAGGGACTGGGGTAAGAGACTGAAGGAGACACAGCCGCATAGAGACCGTAACTAAAGACACTGCAGTGTGTGTTGAATTAGCATAAAAGCATTCATTTTGAGAGACAGCTGCAGCTAATATAAGACAACAGAAGAATGAACAGCAGCAACAGATGGAGACTGATGTTCTTACAGCTGTCACAGTTTCTTACATAGTGAAAGTAAATAAATTCAAAATGTATATTCTGTTTGTATTTTCATGACCACTTGGCAACTTCATCTGCTGAGTAAAGATCACGCCTCCAGAAGAGATCCTGAGTGAAACTCGTGGTCACATAGTTTTTGTCAGATCGAGAATGAACTTTCAATCTCAGCGTCTCACGTGGGATTCGTAGGATCACATTTGACTAATTCTCCTCCGTCCTCCCAGCAGGGTGCTCCCGCCGTGGGCAGGATGGCGAGCCGAGCCCTGAGCCAGGATCAGGGAGCCTCCAGAGCTTCAGACAAACCTGAACCACTCACCAGACGGCGCTCGCGACCTCTGACCCGCAGCAGACCTCTGACCCGTTCGTCCCTCTCGTCCCCTACACACCTCCATGCTCGACGGGCCAGGGTGAGCCACACTGCGCCTCTGTGTGTGTTAGCCGTTTAGCTAGCTGTATGTTTGTAGTGACCTTCAGTATATGTGGTCGCTGCTTCCTGGTTATCCCTCTATACACATTATAGATAAGATGGTAGAAAGCTGTTTGGAAGGAAAAACAGTTGCGCATTCATTTGTCAAAAAACTTTTTGTGTCCTGATTCTTTGTTTAATCACAAATGCAATTGCACTACAGTCTCCTGCACCTTCTCCTGTGGGAAACCACTGTGGCCCAGAGTTTACTTAGATCACCATTACAAGCAGATATGATGGTATCCGCGATTTACCTCAGTTTGATCAGCTCACAGATTGAGTTCAAACCTGCAGTCTTCGCTGCTGTTAACTAAGTCTTTAGAAACAACGTGCACGTTGGTTTGGAGCTAAACCAGCGTCTAACACTTTGCAGCTGACCAGGCAGACAGGAGCTTCAGAGGCATGTCTGATTGATATAAGTTGATCAGTTGATCGTCTGAGGAAATGTTTTGATGTCTACCAAACTCAATTTGAAACGTCTTCTGAAAGCTCAGACCTGTTTTGTGCAGTGTAATTGTGGTCAGCGATCTGTTGTTTTTTCAGGCGTACTATGCCGAAAGGAATGAGCATTTTATTTTTGCCTTGTCAGAGCTGCTTCTCTCTTCCTAAACATGTGGATCTCTCTTTCCCCTTTGCACTGCCTTGTTATATTTCATGTCTACCCTATGCTTTTTCCAGGAAAGTAGATGTTTTCTTCATTTTCTCTTTTGACTTTTTCTTTAAAAACCTCAGTTTACTTCCTTCCTTTCTTCTGTCATCGTCCTCCCTTTCTCTTGGCTTCTGCACAGTCTGCATGTTTCCTGCTGTTGTGTAAATAAGGTGAAAGTAAAGGGATGAGGCAGCTCAGTATTACACAAGGTCACCTTTTTCTGAGTCACCACTACGGCAAACAACAAAAACCACCTCAAATAAAAAAAACAAAAGAAAAACACTGTTCAACAAGTACAACAGTCAGACAGATGACGAGAGGTAAAGAGCAAGAAAATGGGGGAAATTAGTTTAATTGGTGGCAGGGTTCAAAAGTCCACCAATCATCTTTTATCAAGAATGAATACACTTTGGAACTGACCTTGGAAAAAGTAGTTTGATCAACCAATCCCAGCTCACACGGCCTTCATCAGCATGGAGTTTTCTCACTTGTCCTGGATCTGTTGTCATGCAAACTCAGGAGCTGTTAGCGCTTCCAAGGCTTCTCGTCCACGTTGTCTTAAAAGTTATGTTCATTTCTGATCTTGCAAATAGTAGTTTGAGAAAACGTGTTACTGGAAACACTGGGAAAACCGAGTAAGTGGACCTTGAGTTGAGATTGTTTTGCCAGACCATAAAAATAATATCTATATGTATGATATATATCAGGAGCATTTAATTATTAAAACATTTAATTTTCATCCTCAAAACAGAAAGAAAAAGAAAAGAAAACTTCAAACCAAACCAAACAAACATGAAACAAACATGGATGTTCTCAAAGACCGACCGTGCTGGGAAAAGTGTAGAGCCAGCTCTCTTTGTTTCTCAATAGAGGCGTAGTAGTAGAGGCTCATTGTTCTGCTTCCACAAGAGATGGCATGCCTCTGCAGAGCATAGTGGAACATGCCTTTGGTTGGTGTGTAGTTGGTCCTGAAGTGTCAGAATTATTAGTCCAGTGTGTGTGTGTGTGTGTGTGTGTGTGTGTGTGTGTGTGTGTGTGTGTGTGTGGGTAGGTAGAGAGAGCAGCAGGGGCCGTGGGATCAGACTGATGCTAAGGAGTGGGTTTATTTTTCGCCTAACCGTGACTGATAAAGTACAGCTGTCCAAACTGACATGGACGCACACACACGCACACACACGCACACACATGCACACACACGTAGATACGTAGCTGATTCTCAGCTCCAAATTTAGACCACATTTTGTGTTACAGGAATTTGTAAAAGAATTGCAGTAATTCAGCAGCAGCAGCAACATTTTTTTAATATTGTTGTCCTTGTTTTCTTATTTGTGTCACCGTGTGTAATGAATGTTTCACTGTTCAGTTTTCATATAGTCACTTCACAAGAGCAACATTCAGATCAAAGACTGAGCGTGGACTTATAGGAAGATGTAGTGCGTTTGTATAATCCAGCCAGCATGAAGTATTTGCTACTTGTGCACCTTCAGGCTTTCAGTGGGATGGGAAGATTAGATGTGTAAACGATGAGGTTATCATGTCTATACAGTGTTAGGGACTGACAGATGGGGAGTTTAACTGGAGACTGAGACATTTTCGAAGGATGTGACCTTTACTTTTGTTTTCCCTCTGGTGAGATCTTTGCTATTTTACAGCTGCTGTTTGCTGAACCTCTTTATTATCCTGGACTAATGTTGTTCACAGTCGGAGTCCGTCAGCTGCTGCAGTGGTTACCTTTAGTTGACTAAAAGTTGAAACCCAACTAACGGTGCAGATGACTCTCCACAGATACTGTGGTGGTAATTTTAGGGCTGTGTCTGCTTAAATATTGATACCAAATGAAAGATTTATGAGAGTGAGATATTTTGTCATTTCCTGCTATTTAAAAGAACAGCTTAAAATTAACACTGGAAGTTTCAGACTTGTGAAACTAATTGTAAATCATTCAACTTTTTGTCCTTTTTCAAACTTGAAATGACAGGTGATAGTTTGTGTGGTAATTTACGGCGTACACTATGACCTTGAGGTAAACCCGTGTGAATCATGCACAGTTTCCTGTGCAATTGCAAAACTGCAGGTGGCTCGTTTGGTAAATCCCAAGCTTCTTTGTAAGGATGTGGGGTTTTTCCTGTGACAGTGGCAGCATTCATGATGCCAAATCTGTGCTGGGATAATGTTTCATACACAGGTTAGGAAATTAATCTGGCCCAGACATAAGTTCCCTGATCTTTGTCAGTTCCTGTGATCATGAGGAGTACATCACAAACACACATACATTTAAAAAGTCCCAGAATCCAGCGTCTATAAGCTTCAATTTCCTGTGTAGTTTTAAGTCATGTGGTTGTTGCTGGTGGATTTTACTGTTCTGAACCTTATTGTCCTTCACTCTTTTTTCTTCTACCCTTGTTATTAATTTATTTATTTTTACCTCAGTTAGCACCATCTATTTTGATTGACCTTTTCTGTTGTGTCCTCTTTTTCTCCTTCTCATCTTTCCAAACCAGCTCACAGACTCTCAAGAGGACGAACAAACACACACACATAGACACAAACACACACACACACACACGCAATATCCTTTCCAATTTCCTCTAATTTAATCGCATCATTTATTATGATTTAAGTTGTTTTTCCAGAGGGAGCTTCAGCCTCATTCATCAAGCGGATGTTACCCAGTTAAACAAAATAATATTAACATGTATTTTTTTTTCTTCTTTTGATTCCAGTGAATCTGGATCATAGTCCAACAAATAAGCCGTTTGGGGCTTGATAGGTTTTCATATGATCGTGCGAGATGAACACTCAGGAAATCTGTTTCTGTTGGTTGAACCAGATTTAGAATTTGAGTCATTTTTCATTTTCAGTCAGCTGCATATGAGGGAAACTTAGTCATTGTCTTTGGCGAATATTGAGTTTACATTCTCCAAAACTCGAGAGTCTTTGTGTTCATGTGAAGTGTTTGTATATTTTATTGCTTTTATTTTGCTACTCACTGTGTTTTCCTTTCTTCCTCTCTCTCTTTTTTCATTTCAGGCGGCTGCAAGGATCACCAGTGGATCAGCAGGTATGATAACCCTTAAGTGAAAGTGTGTGTGTGTGTGTGTATTTGTGTGTCAGGGGAGGTTTGTGTTCATTCACTATCCTTTCTGTTGGATTGTTTGCATTCCCACTTTGGGATAAAACCGGACTTCTGGGAATGTCTCCCACAGGATTCCTAGCCTGAACGTCAAACCTCAACCACCCAGAAGTAATGATATAGTGTTTCTACTATAACACACACACACACACACACACACACACACACACACACACACACACACACACACACACACACACACACACAGCCTCGCCTGGACACATACACAACATGTGCATATTCAGGTGCATAAACACAGATATTTGGGAGAGTTCATACAAAAAAAAACAAACAAAAAAAAAATAATATGAACGCACACAAACGCTTTGTGCTTTGAAGTCATGACTCGGTGGAATCCGTTGATAACACACAGAAGCTTATCTTCACCTTCACCAGAACAAAAACAAAGCTCTTCTGATTGAAAATATCAGTCATGTTAAACGGAACATTAATATAATGTTTCCCCTCTGGTCCTGATTTTTTTTTTTTTTGTCTTTACTCTCTTTTCCTTCTGGGACTCAAGTTCCCAGAGACTGTGATAGAAGAGTCTGAGAAGATGATTAATGAGTCCAACTCTGACCCCCTGTCCATATCTCCTATCCTCAGAGTGTGTCCCTTTTGATTGACATGCACAGGCGTCATGGCGACTGTAGTTAAGTGCAACCTGGGGAGATGTCTTGGCGACAGGCTTGCATTCACTGCGTTGCCAGATTGTTTATTTTTGTATGTTTTGTCTGCGTGTGTGTGTGTGTGTGTGTGTGTGTGTACATGCATGCCGTAACAGTTGGGGTGTCTCCGATGTTGCACCATCTTCAACAAGGGTCACATTACTGTCAACGGGAGTCCACGGAGGAGAGGTGCAGTAGGAGGGTGATGGGGGGGGGGGGGTAATGAGGCCCCAGAGAGCTGACGGGAGGTCAGAGGTGATGCCGTCAATGGCATACGATGAGAGTGAGAGTGTGTGTGTGTGTGTGTGTACGTGCCCTAGAGTAAGACATGTTGCATCCAAACGCGACAGCGCTCAGGGAGGAGTGTAGATTAGTTTCAGTGTTTGGGCTCTCGTGCTTCAGGTTTGTTTTCTCACTTGAGCGTGTTTATTTTCTCCTCTGATATGAGGAAACACTTTGGCTGTTTGACAGGAATCCCGTCTAATCAATCAGTGTTTGTCGGCCTGTGTGGTCTGTGTCTTAGCTGCAAAGCGACAAGATATGATATGCACATATCTGTGCTCACATAGTTGACATTCACTCTGCTCTCTGCCAGATAAACGTGGAATCCATACCTGTTCTCTGCACGGGGTCTTCTTATTCTTATCTGACTGTATTTTTCTAATCACATATCTTTGATGTGTTTCTTTAGTGTACCTTTTTTTTCTTGAACATGTGTGTGTGTGTGTGTGTGTGTGTGTGTGTGTGTGAGTGAAAGGGAATTCATGCCGAGACGGTATTTGGTTTATAAAACGAATCTGCCCTCAGGCCACTGAGGAAAATGTTTTAATCCCTGCAAAGATGAAAGGATTTATTTTCAATACTTTTTTTTTTCTGGAGAATTAATGTGTAATAACAGATGAGTATTTTTGTATAGATGCTTAAGCGCTTTATTTGATCTCAAGTTTGTTTGTATTTCAATGATCTCTTAATCTGAGAGGTCACCCCCACGGTGCCTGTGCTGTTTTACCTCAGTCATACTGCACAATTCACAAAAAGGCTTACGACAATTTACTTCGCCTGCTTGATTTGGCTGCTCTGTTGAATGACCTGTCAAACATCTGTGGTGTCTCATTAGTTCTACATTCAGTCCTCATTTTACTCTCCAAGTCAGGTTATTATTGTCCAACAGGGATGAAGGAAAAATGTCTTTCCTTACCAAATCAGCAAAGGTAAATCTGACTAGATTAACTTCTGCGTAAGATTCATATGGTTATGCTTTTTACTAAACACGCAACTGAGGGGGTTGGTGTTCTTGTATTTTGTGGAACATTTGTAAGTAATGAAAACCTGATGTACCTAGAACCTCAGGAGATTGTATGATCCCAGGTTGAGGCCTCACCCTCGTGATTTAGGACCCACCTTTAATAGTATGATTCGACCTAAATCGCTATGGAAAAAAAAAGAAAATCTCTTGCTCCATAACACGTAAAAAGTAATTTTTCACTGTCAGGAAACAAAGCAGCTACTACTGAACACGCTGGAAAGTATTTGTACTTGTGTCATGAGTAGGAGATATACAGTATGATGCCTTCCTGGTTGTTACACATAGTGAACAGGACCAGCAGTGAGATGCTGCAGACAAAGGACTCACCTAAAATAACCTGGAGCCACATGCACTGCAAGCAGATGACTAATGTTTTTTACACAGTATATCATAACTATAGTTTTCTGTAGTCAGCAGAGGCTGCTGTATGCTGCAGTATCCAAACAATGCCTCCATCTGCACGCTGGGAACAGGGATAGTGACACGTTTACCCAGTGAAGACAGCTACGGCACAGTTGCCAGTCCATTCAAATGAGATGTGATAACCGTAACCTGAGGTGTGGACTCAGGTCTGATGACTTGGATCTGAGTCATGTACCAAGTGGCTACTAACTCGACTTTGACTTTGAGAGCAAATCTGTGTTTTTGTGTGAATACTTTGAATATTATATATCGAATTAATGTGACAGCAGCCAATCACTGTGCTCAAGCTGGAGGGAACGACAAAGCGGTGTCGAAACACTCAATAAATCAATGAAGGTGCTCTGAAATAATTCAAATGTGCAGTGTATGGAGCACTGAGTTTAGGGCTTAGACTTGGAGCTTTGCTCGTCTTTACTTGGGACACGACTCGGACCTCAATGGCCGAGAGTTGATACTGTGTATGCAGTTTAACACATGTACATTCGCTTTTGAAGCTTTGAGACTTTGCTAAATTTCATTACTGGGTCTTTTGAATCCGGCGTGAATTCCAGCTCTCCGTGTTTTCAGACGAGCTGGATGAGTGCACTACAGTACTACTGCTGTGGTGAACATTACCACTCGCAGATATTTTAGATGTTGTGCTGCTATTTTAGAGCAGCTGGTAAGCTACAAATGACCTTGGCCTGAACTAAACACACACATTCTTAACATTTTCACTCAAGTCCAGGATTATAAAAAAAACATATAATCCGTCAGAATTTACACGTTATTAGAAAGTGCTCGTGGAGGCCGCGGCTAATCTCGACCTATGGCCCGTGAATCCTTTTAGTGTGTCCCTTGCATGTCTGTAATATGTTTTTAATATGTCGGACTGGAGGGATTCAGCTGATTTATGGCTCCGGCAGGCTTCTGATGCACATTTTCCTCGAGGCAGCATCGTGCTGACATTTAACGTCCATTTAATGTCTGTCTCTCGTTTTAGTGGAGTCACACACTTCCTTGATTTTCGTCTTTTTAACTTGTGCTAACATTGACAGAGGTTTCAGTCTGTCCATGTGTGTGTGTGTGTGTGTGTGTGTGAGACTGTGTGAAGAAAACCTCTACTGCTGCTGCTGTGTGTTATTCAGAAGATACCTGACACAGAAAAGCAGTTGGCTCAGTGATTAACTGTCAATAAATCTTTATAACTTAATCATGGTGACTTGTTGGTGTTAACTTGTGTGTGTGTGTGTGTGTGTGTGTGTGTGTGTGTTTGTGTATGTTTGTGTGTATGCATTGTGTGTGTTTGTAGTTGTGATGTAGACCCACCAGATTGCATACATTAAAGATTTGTGATGCTCGGAGGGTCCTTATTAACTCAGTGCATGTGTGTGTGTGTGTGTGTGTGTGTGGTAAATATTGCAGCAGTGCTTTAACAAGTCTGGAAGTGGATTTGGCTGTAGTCCCAGTCTCTCCCTCTGTTTCTTCCTTCACATCTTCCTTTTCATTTTTCCTCTGTCTTTCTGCCCTCTGCTGTCTCTTCTGACCATTCAAACTGTAACTCGACCCCGCACTGTGATTTGTTTTTTTGTTTTTTTGTTTCCATGTCTATTTTCCACCTTGATTTGTTTCATGGTAGCTGTTTGCTGTATTCCAGTCTGTGTGATACTTAAACCTCACTATGAATCCTTTGTGTCGCTCGCATGTGGAAAGAACATGCAACAAGACTTGAATACGCATCAGTACACAAAGTCAACACACATTTACTCTTGAAACTTTGACTTTACACCAATGTCCCAATCATCTTGCTGAAACCTCGTTTTGGTAGAAACGATGAGCGACTAACGGGAACATATAAGTTTTCATACACCTGTTTGGTTCTTTCTTATTTTGCACAGAAAGAAACTGAGTATAAATAACAGAATGTGAAAAAATTGATTGATGATGAATTTGATTTATCATTAACTTAATTATCACAATAAAACAGCAACAAAGGAAGTCCAGCTGTTATCACAGAGTTATTTGCTGAGGGAACACGTGCAGTCATTTGTAAAGTTTTTAAAGGACAGGTTCACAGTTTCCCAACTCTGTCTTAAATCAACAGTCAGGTGCCAATATGAACCTCGAAACAGGTTTTGCTCGCTGTAATCTTTCCTCTTGTTCATTCTGGCCATTAAACTGCTCCTTCCTAACAGACTCATGTGGTCCTGCGCTCACAGTTTTCCTGTGCAGTGACGGGCTCTTTCTTTTACCTGTATTATTACTGAGAAGCCACAAGCTGTAAACGCAACAATGACATATTATTATCTTGATTTTTTGGTGAACTTGTTAGCAAACAGTTTCCTGTTTACACACTCAGCAGACACGGAAAAACTTTTTAGCATTCCTGGCTGATATTCACTCTCCTTTTAGCTCCGCTTTGGTTTCCTCCAAGTCCTGGGGTAAATATCTGTCACTCTTTTACTGCTCAACGCTGCACTATGTTCATCAGCTAGTTGCTAACTTTGTCTGTCTGCTGTTTAGTGCTGAGCAGGTCAGGTACAGTGGTTTAT